TCAGCAGCAGCAGAAGCAGGAGTAGGAGTAGGAGTAGGAGTAGGAGTAGGAGTCGGAGTGGGAGTGGGAGTGGGAGTGGGAGTGGGAGTAGGAGTAGGAGTAGGAGTAGGAGTAGGAGTAGTAGCAGCAGCAGCAGCAGTAGCAGTAGCAGTAGTAGCAGCAGCAGCAGCAGTGGAAGTAGGAGTGGGAGTAGGACTGGAGTCGGAGGGGAAGTATAGGAGTAGGCGGAGTAGGACTAGGGCGAGGAGTAGTATTAGCATTGCAGTTGTAGCATTGTAGCCTTGGTCGCAGTGGTAGTGGGTAGTGTTGGTATTCGCAGTGGTGATGTGGTGGTGGTGATGGTGGTGGTGGTGGTGGTCGTGCAGCAGCAGCAAGAGCAGAAGGTAGTCAGTCGTAGTGGTGGTGGTGGTGGTGCTGGCGGTGGCAATGGTCGTCGTAGCAGCCGCGGAAGTCATTGCGGCAGTCTCCTTCGGGGGAGTTTCAGGAAGCCCACCTTCGGCTGCAAGTGTGGCACCGGCGATTGGCGCCCAGCGCCGCATGGCCGAGTCTGGAATTTGTTCCGACAGGTGTTCAGGGAGATACTTGAGGGTTCGGTGGTGTTTCCTCTAGTCGGATGTCGGGTTCAGTATCCGGAGAAAGGGTGTATTACTATGCCGCACGGGCCAGCGACGTCCGTCATGTGGTTCCTCCAGATTCCTGTGAAGGGCATGATTGTGATCCTTGGACGACATGCCATCATGGCTGTACGACGGGGTTGCTAGGGTCATACTTTGAGCTCGCACTGGAAGATCTCGGAGAGTTCTGCCAATCAGCATCAGTTTGCTTCGGATGAGAATTGCAAGAACTCACAGGCCTGCTCGAAACTTTGTGCAGACTTATCGGCTGCAGGCTGTCGCATCCCAGCATCACTTTCCGGCAGGAGTTCGCCGAACTGCATCCGGCCTCCTGGCTAAGTCTACGACGGAAGTCGTGTTTCGTGTTTCGAGGCTTCTACTTTGGGCTGTTGCTTTTGCTGTTGAGTCATTGGAACCTACCATTCGGGTTGATTGCAGCCAAAATACAGCCGGGGGCATGCTGGTTCCAGGTGGGAACTTGCGCAGGGTATCTTCGACATGTGCCAGGCTGTAGGAACAAAGAGTCCACGGAGTTCTGAGGAGTATGTTTACTGAGAGTAATGCTTTCTCGGAGGTTTGGTTGCCCTGTGGTTTTGATCTGAAGGTACTGCATGAGGGCAACCTGCGCGGCAGTTGTGGGATCCGGTCGTAAGCCCCATACCGTGGACTCTGTTTCACTCAAACCGCTACGAACTGTTTGCATGCTCGAAGACAAATGAGCCGTCCTGGGATAAGAGAGCTTCCACGTCTTAAGACTTGGGGGGAGTGTGCATCAAGATGTTCCAAACTGTAGATAATTCGATACTGCAGCCTTCCGAGGATTTCCTCGGCCGCGTGCAGAAGCTTAAGGTTCGGTTGGCGCCTTGTCGGAAATTCGTAGCATTTGCTTTTCAATGCCAGGGGCTGTCAACACGTGCAGCTGGAAGGCATCTAGTTGCATGGAATGCTGTCCCGCACTGGCTGTCTCGGTCTTATGTTCGGTGTTCGTGGTACCAGGTCTTCCTTCGACCTTTGGTTAAGATTTCAAGTGTACATCCTGCGCCGAGTCAGTCAGTTGTCTGCTGTGTCGAGAAACAGATAAGTGTCTCCTTGATGTAGGTGATGGCACTGTTTGAGTCAGTTCTAAAACCGTCGAAAAAGTCGTGCGCTCGAATTCCTGCAAGTTTTAGCTGAAGAGTGCCCGTCAATCTTATTGCTTGCAATGAACCTCGCCTGTTGATCCGGCATGCGAGAGCATAGCCTCGGACCAACTCTGATGATCCCCAAACCATCCATCACTATCGCGCCAGCAAGATGGGGCAGAATCCAGAGTTCAAGTTCAAAGTTGGGTGCCGGGACCGTCATGCCATGCGTGTGATCTTGCCACGTGCGCATGATTCATTTTCATACTCGATTGTAAACTGTCACGGGTCGTAACTACTTGAATAAGCGATCCTTGCTCGGCGATAGTAGTAACAGAGCCCTCGAAGAAGGATCCGAGAGTATGTCGAGTAGTTCATGTCACATTCTGGTCTTTGCCTGCTTGCAGGGACAGACAAACCTGTGTGCCTTCCGGTCAGGAGAATGACAACACGGCCAAGCTGCAGTGGGCAGCTTGCCCACTCACTAGACCTGCTCCTGCTTCAGTTCAGTTGCTGGTTCTGCGAGGGTGTTATGGAGTTGGGCTTGGCACCGGGCTTAGCCGAGCCTGGCTGCACTGTGAATTGCATCGTCCATTCGAAAGCTAAGCAAGCGGGTCAGGTGGGATGGTGACGGGAAGCTGGGAATCTTGTCGTACATCTTCACAGTACGGTTTGCACCTCCTTTGAAGGGCCCCACTTCCGACCCCCCGGTCCTGTCTTGCAGAGCCGAGGACGCCGCATACGACCTCCGGCGCTTTCTGAAACCTGGCGACATGCCGCTGAGATGTGTCAGCACTTTTGGGCTTCTCTGTGGGTTTGAGTGAGGTAGAGGCTCAAAGTTCTCGGTTCCATATTGGCTGGTTCCAGAACCTTTCCTCTGTATAGTCATGAGCTTCGCGTTCGATGTTCAGACCTGGTCAAGTCTTTCTGAAAAACCCAAGTCTGCAGCGGTTAGAACCGTTCCTCATGCATTCTAGCTGCAGAGCGTCCAGTACAGTTACGGCCTGTTGTGGGCTGCCAATTGAAAGCTTAGCCTGGACCCATTCGCGTCGAAAGAGCTCAAGCGTGCGGACGGGTTCTCTGCGACGCTAAACGAAACCCCAATAATTGAAGGCACCACCATGTCCGTTCAGCCTAAATGCCTACTTAAAGATAACTTGCCGATGCTTCAGCAGGCCATTTTGTTGCACAGTTGTGTATGTCTTTTCCGGCTCCTTGTAAGAAGTCTCTAACAGTGTCCTGTCCGCGCCAGCTGCTACAGTAGCGTGAACCTCGATGATGCTTCTCTCCATTTGCCCTACAGCTCGAGAACCGTATATGAATGCTTGGGACAGCAAGAGACCATTGGCCTCCATGCAAAGGCCATCGCTTACCGAGACTACGCCGGCGATCGCAAAGAGCGGCCAGCAGCCTCCCAGTCTGCACTGGAAAACTTACCAGGGGTGCTTTACTGCTACTACATAGCATGGTGACTCCTACACACTGCTTACCAGTCTGTTCTGCTTGACGCCCAAGGCTTCGATTTCTGACATTCTGTCCGGATGCACCACGGACTGCAAATCAGTTCTCGCCTGGGGAACAGATTGTTCTCCGTGGGTTTAGGGGTTTAGGGTTTAGGGGTTGAGGGTTTATAGCATTAACCATGTGAGTCGGTGGCATAGTGGCATCCAGGCATCAAACAACTACACGATGCGGGTCACCGCCCTGGATGCGAACGACGAGCCCATCGACTACTTCGAGGCCAATTGTTGGTACTCCGTGCTGTCGAAGCGAAAGTCATGACCTCCAGGAACTGGTTGTCCCTTTCTGGTCGCCCCAAAGTCCTATTCTACTTATGTAGTCTGGCTCCTATATACATGTGTCAAAAGCAGTGAAACTGAGAAGTAGCTAGCTTCAGTGGTACCAGGATGACGAGATGAAGTTGACGGCCACCCCTGGCCTACCACCTCCCAAAGGGCAGGCGGGAGCGCTTTGTTAGGCAAACATCGAAAGGTACGGGATTTCGGGTTAGGTCCATCTTCGTCAGATTGCAGATTCTAGAAGTTATTTCTGACGTTTGTTCTCTTTGCTTGACTCTAGAGCCTCAGACTCAAAGCTTCGGGGAGGTCCGTGTCAGATTTCTGTCTCTCCGCGTTTGGGATTAAGTCTTGGACTCTTAGTTGCAAGTTTCCCAGGATGTTCTACACCAACACTAGAGAGGCGTGCATCCATGCTTGAACTGCCAGGTTCTTCCAAGTCCGTGCGTATGTGGAATTCGACTCGAGCCCTGTGTGAATGTTACAAAGTCGCAAGTTGACTGAAACCGACGCACAACTGAACGTTTCGCATCCTTGCGACACATGCAGTTTGTAAATCGTCACCGCCCGATGACACAATGTGAAGCCCCTGCATGAGGTCACCGAGACGACTATCGTACCGAAGGGTCAGTCACATGGCCTGTGAGTTCCCATGAGAGCGGGTGGTGCGAAGGGCGACGGGCGTTTGGTCTTGTCGTCACAATCTGAGATGGCGGATTTTGGGTTCAAGCCTCGTGCCAACTCAAAGCAAGGGCTTCTGTCGGCTTTCGATTTGTGCGAGAGAGATGCATTCCCCAGGGATGGCACTTATTATAATAGTTTGGCCGAAGAGAAGATAGCCTGAAAGCGACTTCTGGGGGACTCCAGGGAGCAAGTTGCAATGAACAGCAAGAAGCGACGCGCTTTGTTGCAATTGGCATTCCGTTACTTGCACCAACAAACCGCTTAGTGGATCTTGACAAGTTTTCGCGGGATTTAAGCTACCGGAATGCAGAGCTGGTCAGCAACCTTGCTTAACCATTGCAAATCTAGAGGCCAGTGTTGTTGAGCACAGCACGGACTACGAGTTCTTGCTGCATGGCTGTCCTCCTCAGCCCTCTCAGACCTATCAGCACTGAATCCCATAGGCTAGCTTTCATGCTGCCGCTCTGTCTTACGCAGAGCATGCAGAGGATCGGGAAAGAAGCGGAACAAGGCGCTGTCAAGGACGCCGGATGCGGCAAGATGTGGTAGGCTGTGCCTACTGGTGTATCTTCTGCGCGTGTGTAGGCTCATACACTGCAACGACATGTGGATGGATTGATGTGCGCATGCTTGTATGTCTTTACGACGGTATGATGTATGCGAGGGCTGTTGGATTGATGGGTGAATTTGCAAGTGATGCGGTGTGTTCGTACAAACGTGCAGGTGTGAATCTCATGATTGAATGTGCATGTATGCATGCATGTATGTATGTATGTTGTATGTATGTATCTACGTATGTATCTATGTATATGTCTATGTATCTATGTATGTATGTGTGTATGTATGTATGGATATATATATATGTGTGTGTGTGCGTGCTTGTATTCACATAGTCTTTGTTATTCATGTCTATATATATATATGCACAGATACGGGCATACGTGCGTACACATACATGTGCACACATACCAGCAAACAAATACAGACACCCACATCTTAACATACATATATACATACAATTGTATATGCACATGCACATACTACTTGCATGCATGCACAAATACACATCAGACATAAACACGTGTCTGTGACATATATATATATATACACATGCACACACCGAGAATTTAGGCAATACAGTGCATGTAGGCAAATAAACTGCGAGTTCACCCACATCCACCATCAAAGCACATGAACGCATGCATACACACACACACACACAACCCACCAACCGACGCACCCCCCCCCGCCCACACACAAACGCAAACACAAAAAGCAAATAATAAGTAGATAGAGAGAGAGGCATGAGTCTAGACCTACATGTAGGCCTAAAGATGTACATCTAGATGTGCATGTGTATGTGTATATAGTCCATTTATATATATATATGTACATAGACATATACATACATGTGTGTGTGAGAGAAATTATGTGTAAATAAATAAGTGTGTATATATATATATGTACACACATGTGCTTGTATGTGCCAGCCCCCCTAAGGTATCTACATGTCTCGCTTGTTTACCTATGCGAGATCGGCATGTGTGAGCCGACTCTCCCTGCCTGAACGCAAGTCGTCAAGTAATTAGTCTTGAAGCCCGGAAGCCAAGCTACCGACTTTGCAGGTAGGTGTTCAAGTTCAGAAATTTCAAGTCAGGGGTTGTGTTTCAGGAAGTGAAGCGCGGTTCACGGAACGGTAGCCCCCCATCTGGTTTATGAATCAAACGCCTCGAGTGCACCTTTTTAGCCCTCCAACTTTCCAAAATTCTGAAGATTGTCGGAAATCCCGCGGCCTTTGCCACATAACCCGACCCGTGTTATAATTGATACGACCCCAAAGAGGGTCATAGGTTTTGATACCCACCTTGGACCTCCGTATATATGTATATGCATATGTAATATATATATATATATATTAAGCATGTGTGTATGTGTATATGTATATGTATAAATAAATATATATATATATATTTATTTATAGAGAGAGAGATATGTACATATATACACACACACCCGCATAAATAGACACATCTATACATATGTATGTATGTACTTGTTAATACTTATTTCTTCGCATATGAATGTATTTTAGTATATGTGGGGATCTGCAAACCACGGGGGCTTTTTGATGGCTTAAACCCCTCCCCTGCTGCAAACCATGCAAACGGAAACTTTCAGGGAAAGGTCCCAGAAACAGGTAGATGTCTGAGGCGCTAGCATATACATACATGAGTACATGTTTTCTTGCTTAACTTGTTTACTTACATACATACATCACAAGTATGCATTATCTCCCTATCTATACACATACATGCATACATACATACATATTCATAAGTATATGTACAAGTATATGTATAAGTCTTTGAACTACATACAGCTCGAGAGATACATGCCAGCCACTGCACTTGCCTCAGCATCGCAGACGTGACATCTACGAAGGCACATACATGCACATGTCGCGGCCACAACCTACATGCCCAGGGAAGCTTTCGCAAAGATAACATACCCATACATGTGCATGTCGATGCAGACTTCTGACTAGTATAAGACTGTGTATTACAGCGTGTGCGTATATTTATGTACGTATGTAGGTATGTATGTATGCATGTGTGCATGTACGCATATATGTTTGCATGTATGGAATATATATGTATGGATGTAAATTTACATGTTCATTCATTGCCTATTTATGGTATGTCTATACACATGCATATACGCAAATGTCTGTACGTGTGTGTATGTACACACACTCCCTCTCTCTCTCTCTCTTTCTCTGGGCCAAGTGTTTGTGTCGACATAAGTATTCCGATGGAAGAGACGCATCCTCGACAGCCTGGTTTCTGCACCCACCATGCAACCAGGGCCACTCATTGCCACGCTGCGAGCACTCCAGGTGTTTGGTTGGAGGGGTTGCAGTTGCAAAGACTATATAATGTATGAATGGGGCTGCGTCTGTAGAAATTCGCAGGGCTTATTGCAGAGCTGCAAGCGTGTTCCAGGAGCCTGGCTTGGAAGCGGGTGCGAACATGCAAGAGGCTGGATGTCGAAGATCTTGGCACAATTGCAAATTGTTGCGGCAGTATGGTTCATGCCACCTTTAACCTTCGTGCCATGGGGTCTTGGTACACAGGGTTTGGGTTGGGAGGCCCATGCGCAGCATGGGAATCACCGTAGTACTACTCAAGCATTTGGCTCCGGATATCGGGCGGGACACTGCGGAATCCAGCCGACAGACAAATCAAAACCGCCAAGCCAATCCTTGAATGGATCATCCGAGTTGTGAAAGGTGAGTTCCCCAAACCCTAAAGACCTGCAAAACGACTCAGACGCCAATGACATCTTGTCCTGACTGTGCGCTTCCAGCTTCTGCAAGGCTAAGAACCAACCTGCGGAGCCTCAACCTGATCTGGGAGTCCGAACCCACAGCTTCTGCAGGGAGAGAAGAAGCCCGACATGGGGGACATCACCCGGGAGATCATGAAGGAAGAGTCCCTGAAGCAAGAGTCGCATGGCAGATGAGCTCAGTCAAGATGAGGGCTTCAGAGACTTTTTTTGGACTTTGCGCTTGCATTGCCTCGTGGCTTGGCTCGGGGCCATTGTTTTTTGTTAGACATTGGACATTGGAGAGATGCCAGCCGTTGGAAGCTTCGCTTTTCCCAGGGCGATGATGAAGGAGTGAGCGCACTGGATCCCCACCTGAGCTTTCTAGGTTGGAGACAAGCTCCAGTGGGCTTGAGCTCCTGAGAAAGTCATGACTCCATGACTCACCAATTGTCACGGTACACTTCTACAACATACAAGCCAGGCCTGATTAGTCAGAGTTGTTTTGTCTAGTTTCACCGTCAGGGGTTAAGGTACCGGAGGTTGTAGCCAGCTTAGTATGTTGCAAGAAGTACCAGAGCACCCGGCTTCACGAAGAAGTGGCGAGAAGGATTGATCTGCGACGATGGCTGGGCTCCAAAAGAATCTTTGTGCCTTGCGACAAAAGCATGCTGGCATGGCTGGTTTGTTTGAGGACCAGGCTTCAATGACGAAGGATTTTCGAAGTTTCGACGGAACTCTCAACCCACCCACGGCCAGAGATGCCCGGTTTTGAAAGCGAGTGCCTCCCATGATGCGCAGTGTCCTTCGTAACAGCGGCGGATCTCTTAAGCAGGGGAAGCCAAGCCAGACTCCCTTCGCAGGCACGACTGTCCGCCAGCTGATTGAGCCCTTTGGTTTGGCATGTGATTGACGTTCAAGGTTTTTAGGCCACACCTTGCTGTGTAGCTCGACTGGTTTCAATACCTCCGATGCTGATGGTGTCCACAAGCATCCATACTTGTTAAGTTTTCCGTAAGAAGGTTCCATGTCTTGCATCAACAAGGGAGGCATTGACTAGTGACTAGCTGTGAAGTTTTCCGTGGTTGTGCAAGAAGCACCCATGGAATGCCAGATGATGCGACCAGCGCAAGATGCGAGCGGCTGTCTCAAAATCTCCAGATCTAGGGCCTGAGTGGCCTGTGCCTTCTACGGACCGTGGCTTTTCACATCAGTCTCTACTTGTCTATGTTCGCTTCTCTCGGCCAGCGGGTCCTCGATCAGTCTGTGCGATGTACTCGGAGTGGAGGAGGACGGCTTATGCCCAAACTATGTCTTGCGGAAGTAAGCTTCCAGGATCCCACGCTGTGCCAGCGCTGGAGATCCTGGAGGCGGGATGGTGGAGTGCGCGTTGGGACGACTAGGATTCTGACGTGGGCTGTCTAAGAAGCCAGGACGTCGGAGACCGTGGTCCACTGAGAAGTTATTGGAACCAATTCAAACAAGTAGCAGCATTTGTACTTTGTCCTGTCCTACTTTCGAGAGAAGAGCCTCGCATCGTACTTGGGTGTGCCAAAACTTCAACAGCGGTTGACAGCATCACACAGAGCAAAGGGTGTTCTTGGCTGACCAGGTGAGCCGGTTTGAGCCTTCCGGGATTCAGAACAGTCCGTCCGGACTCATTTATTGAGATGCAGAAGCTGTCCCCTCATACCCGTTGAGGCAGCGGTTACACTGCGGAAAAGTGACTGAAACGAATGTGGGATGGCAACATGCCGGAGACTGAGTCGGGGTTCAATTCTGCAGGAAGCTTGTTGGTAGTCGTGCTTCACCGTCCGCAGTATGCATACTGTCAGCAAGCATATTCTGACGAATCGTACGTAAAATGACGAGCAGGTTGCTTTAACTTTGTGCTGCGAGCAAGCTGGAGTTGACGTCTCGTTGTCCGGGCGAGAGTTCCCATGCAAGCTACGGCAGGTGGGCGACAGAAGCGAGCTGCATGAACATGGTTGGGTGGTTGATGGGCTCCGCCAATCTGACAAACAGATTTGGAATCACGCTTCTCGACAAATGACACTCGTGTCGTTCATGATGCTGAAGATCAAAAGAACGACATGAAACGACAGTTACCGCCATGATAATCGAGTCATCCAGTCCGTGCACCGGCCTGTTAGCTATGTCAGCATCTTCACTTCGTTTCAGGTTCTCCGATTGTTCTGAGCTGAGTTACGGCTTTTCAGTGTTAGTGACGTTTCTATGTGTCATCGACCGTGCCTTCATGGAACATTGTAAAGCCGGGCCAGTCTTCTGTCACCCATTGTCCGCTGCTGGCAGTATCCAACAATCAGCTGGTAAGTAGCGGGGGGGGGGGGGGGGGGGNNGTGCTGGTGGTGGTGCTGGTGGCGGTGGAAGTGGTGGTGGTGGAAGTGGTGGTGGTGGAAGTGGTGGTGGTGGAAGTGGTGGTGGTGGAGGTGGTGGTGGTGGTGGTGGTGTGCTGGTCCTGGTGCTGGTCCTGGTGCTGGTGCTGGTCCTGGTGCTGGTCCTGGTGGTGGTGCTGGTGGTGCTGTTGCCGGTGCTGGTGCAGGTGGCAGTGGTGGTCACAGTGGTGTAGCAGTGGAAGCCAGTGCCAGTAAAAGCCTGTTGCAGTAGAGAGCAGCATCAGCAGCAGCAGAAAGAGTGGCAGGAGTAGGAACTAAGTAGTTGTCGTCGTCGTACTGCTCATGTACTAGAAGTAGCTCTAGAGTACTTGCATTGAACCAGGGTCTTTGTTTTGTGTGTAGGCTCACTGCTGTCGTTGTTGCTCCGGTCGTAGTTGGAAGGCCTACGATTCGGAAGCTGGATTCGTTGTGACACTTGAGGTCGCGATCCAAGAGCTTCCCACAGAAGGAGCGACCTGAGTTTGGAGTTCACCATAGTTCGTGTTTCCGTAAAGTTCTGCTTCCCTGCACCCCAAGTTTGAAGATGTTGGAGGCAGGGCATCAACGAACTGCCGCCGTCGTTGCGTGACAGTGGTCCAGACATGGAAGTGTGCAGAGAATCGAACCAGTCGAGGATATTCATTTGAAGTTGCGTCATCTCATATTGTAGGCTACTATACTCCTATGATCGGCTAGACTAAACTGTTCTATACCGTGCTATGTATGCATTGACACATGCTCTCCTTCGCAGTACACCGTGTATGTATAATGTTTCGGGTAATTTAGTAGAATGTCATGGACGCTACGTGATGTGACGTGATGTGGTGCCATGCGATGTATCATATTGTCGTGACTACAATGGAGTAATGTAAGGTTCTCATGTTGAGATTAATTTTCCCCTTATTTGGCAGTGACCCGGAAGCGGTAAGCACGGTGCTGGGTCCGAAACCGATCGCAGACACCGGCAGGCCACGGCGCAGATGCTGCACCCATGGGCCGCTTCCAGCATTTGAGGCCAATACTTGCAGCGGCAGAAGCCTGAAGGCTAGAGGTGTCGAACTCGCATGACCTGCGAGCACCTCTTTCCTCAATCTTGGACGATGTTGCAGAGGTTGCCTACTGTCGGACTTAGGACGACTTGGGATTCAGGGTTTAGGTTGCTCTCAGCTGGCGTGATCACTCGCTCTTGCTGAGCCGCAGAGCATGCGAAAGCGGTCGACTTGCAGCAGCATCGAAAATTGCTGTGCCACTGCTCGTAGCCTTGCGTGAACCTTAGTTTCCAGCACATCTCTGATTGCCTCAACTAATCATGAACTGAACGACAAGATTGTAGGCACAGCGTGAAGCTATTTCCACATCGCGCTACATCCTGGCTCTTCAGCTAGACGGCCTCATGAAAGGCCAAATATCAGAAGTCGCCCAAAGGTCAGCAATCCCAACCCAAGCACAAGACCTGAAGATGTCGTTGGCACGGTGAGCAGCTGGTCCCACTTCCTGATCAGTTATACTGGGTTGGAACTGCCCGCCTGCAGGGCGGCAGAGCCCACATCTGTCCCAGCATCCCTCACACCCGATTCACGGCATGTACTAACTTGCCTGCCGATGCGTGAATTCGCGTCTTCGCGCGGAAAGATGTCAAAGCCAGTGCAGCACTCAGCGAGTGAGAATTGACCGAGAGCAAGAGAGACTCGCTCTGTGCGTGAGCGTTTGATCGAGTGAGTGCGATATATTAATCTCTGAGTGCATGTCTTGAACTGTTCAGCAGGGCAACGCCCACAAAAGGATCAGCCTCGCCGTGCAAAGTCTTACTGCCGTTGTCTCTCCAGATCCGTTGCGAAACTGCCCGCACGTGTCTAAACGGTGGCTTTGCATGAGCGCAACGAAGGTATTTCTCGAGGATCGTTTCCAGGAAAACCTCTTTGTGGGCAGGTGACCCCAAGGGGCTCCTTGAGAAAGTATCAGTACGAAGAAAAGAGAAGGGGAGAGATCTTGAAGAGAGAAGATACCTTTGACTCCGACGCCTCACAAGGCGCTCCGGACTCCCAATTGATTTCTTGGAGGCAAGATAGAGAAGCATCGCTCAGCGAGAAAACACTACTACTAAAATACATAATAACGTTTTTGTGCACGTGAATGCTTGATTACGGAGATTAACGAACAGTAACATTCGCACGAATAGCAAGCCTGACAAAGATTGATGCCGCCCCGATTCCGAGGCATCACGGCACGTCCAGGCTGGGTGGCTTGTTGGGCGGCCACGGCCGGCAATTGACTGTGACCATCGGGAAAGTCAGCAGTGCTGTCAGGACTATTCTTGTGTAGTGTAAGCACAGCATTGTAGTCGCCATGTATCGCCATGTCTGCACGTGCACAACCATCGCCTGGTCCAAAACCTGTCAGGGCGTCCGCCCGCAGGATGTGGAGGCTCTCAAAAGTGCAGCAAAGGTTGATAGCACTCTCTGGGGTGTTCAAGGTGCACAGGTGCATGCAAAATAGCTCTTCCTTCGGATGTTGAGTCTCTTTCGACAATTCAAGATATATCACAAACGGCAAATTGGGTCGAGCCGCATCTTGCCCTTGAGTAGACGATGGGGGGGGAGTCGCTTTACTTCAGTCCCCCTTGCTGGCTTCGGCGGGACTTTGCAGTTATTACCGCTTCCGGAGCTGTGCGTAAAACTTGGTTCCCCGCTTTTGCCTTGGTCGACGTGAGGCAGCGAGAATTGAGCAAGCGGGGCTGTCCTGGCTCTCTGAGCAGCCCCGGGCTTGGTGTCGGAGTCGGAGCGGCAGAGGATCGTCTGTCGATGTCTGTAGGTAGTTTCACGAGCCCAGCCACATGGGGGAGTGTAACCAGGCAGCGCAGGTTTGAGGATTGCCGTAATTTGCAGTTCTACATTCTGCACGTCATGAATCAGCACGGTGCCCTGTGACCCCAAACTGTCATGTTCATTCAATGTGCGAGTCGCCTTTGCATGCTGCCCGAACTTCCCAAGAGTGAATGCCAGGAAGAGGTCATTCAATTCGCAATTCGTTACAACTCGCTGTTAGACAGCTCCATGGGCCACATTTGGATGCAAAGATTATCATTATTACTGTTATGAAGGCCCATTATAAGGCCCCCAACCTTTTTGAGGCCGGCAGTGGCCGAAGCATTGGACATAGCGGAGAACGGTGCGGAGGCCCTCCTGCCCTACCTTAGCCTGTAGACCTTGTCAGGGGAGCGAGAGGAACCGGATCGTTTTGAGCAAGGACCGCAACAGATTCAGGTCGAACGCAAAAGGCCAAAGTACCGCAGCAATTATCGTACACCAGTCTCTCAGCATCACAGCTGTCCCGCAATCGCGGCCAACCCGAAGCCGGATTCTGTTGACTTGCAGGAGAAGGCTTACGAGAAAGCTGTAGCCCGGCTTTCAATGGCCATCCGAAGTCTTCTCGACCTCAACGAAGAGAGGCACGCCGGACTAGCACGAAATTTTTGGCAGGGCAAATTAGTGGGAAACAGTTGCAAGGACCAATGGGCTTCAGCTTCAGGTTTGAGGGCCGGGGGTCGTTTTTCTTCAATGTCATTTGTACGTCCGGTTCGCGTAGATTGCCTTTTGGCATGTTAGGCGCTACAGCACAGCTTTCCAGATTCGGACTGGGCATGCGCGTGCACCTGCCAGCTGTGGTGGAGCGCATGGCGTTTGGGGCACGCCTCAACGACTCGATCTGCAAGCCGAGCCAATTCCCTCCTATACCCAGGCAATCTTGGAAGTTTGGTTTGCTGCAGATCTCGAGCTCCGAGCCAAATGAGCCAAATACAGATGAGGCCGAGGATCAAGGAAACCAAGCAAACTCGGTCAGAACCAGCATAACGGTACGGCCGTCATAGTCGCAGTAGCTATGCTTATCGTATGTATATATATATATATATGTGTGTGTGTGTACACACATTATATATATATATACTATAACGCACATGTACATACCTACATGCATGCATGCATGCATGCATGATCATGCGTTCATAAATACATACATACTACATACATGCATACATGCATGCAT